TGTGATATCTCATTTATATATGTTACCGAAATAGATTTTCAAAAAAACCCTATTTTGTCTCTATTAGAGCAATTTGGAATTTTTTATATGCAAAAGCAAATCTAATTTAGATTGTTATATTTTTTATAATTTCATCTCTTCAAAAAAGGTATTAAAAAATTTTATTTTTTAAATAAAATAGGTCAAAAACAATTTTGTCTTCAAATTTTAATTTTGTATCCCGAAATCTAAAATAATTTTGTCAACATATATAATCTCACAATCTAATAATTAGAATTATACGATTTTAGGACTACTTGACTTGTTTCAATAAAACAATTTGATTGGTATCAAATTTGTTCAATTCTGGCTAGTAGATCATGAGATATACTAGATACATTATAATTAGTTCTGTGGTATAATACTTTCTATTATTTTATAATAGATTTACAGAATTTATAATTAGAGCTTATTTTTTTTTAAACTTTAAAATTAGATAACTTTTAATTTACTAATTTATTTTATATAGTTTTACAGTATTACTAAAATATTCATCTCTTTAAAACTATTCTAATAATTTTAAAATTATTTAAATTTAATTACAGAATTATAAGATAATATATAGTTAAGTAAGTAACTTATTTTATATATTGTATAATTAGTTTTTTTTTAGTATTAAGATAAGGTCTTGGTATTTTTATTAAATAATTTTAAGTATTTGTTTTATATAACTATATATCTATCTTAAGAATACAAGTTTAGACAATCTTATTTATAACCTAAACCTATCAAAGTATACTACATTTCTACTATATATTGGGTTATATCTGAATTTGGTATTCAGACTATTTTTAGTTATTTACTATATTTATTCTATATCTTATTATCAAACCTTGGTAATTCCCAAATTGGTTTATTCAGAAAATCAATTCTTAATAGTTTTCTAATTTGGTGTATCTATTATTAGATATTTCTTTTAAACTAGTATACTTTTCTAATAGATAGCCTCTTATATATGTTTCTCAAGCCAGATACTTAGTTGTATCTCTTAAACCATCAGGTTTAGCATACAAATTTGTATACTAAAATATTTTGAAGAAAATTAAGCATAAAAAAAATTTTTTTTATAAAATTTTTATTTTAATTGATTGTATTAATTTTTCAAAATCTGAGTTATATGACATACCTGCAGCTATAATATGAAATACTTTTGTAACTTAATTAGAAGATAAAAATTTGTATAAATAAGTTACTCAAACAATTAATTACACCAGCCAATCATGCAAATAACTTACTACAAGTCTGTATTACTATATTTACTATATTTATCAGTTTTGTTGTTCAAAACAGTTATGCAATCATGCATCACGCGTGCAGACAGACAAAAAATTTTCAAATTACGATATTGATATATTTGTTTATGATAATTATATTGATGCATTAAAAAAGAATTTTTATGATCGAAACGTATCAAAAACGTAACTTTTGTATTACTTAATGTATAAAATTGAGTGTCCGTCGCTATGCTCTGGACAATTATATAATACAGCAAAAGTATAATATATTTAATTTTTGATCTGCATAAATCTTATAAATCAAAATATATAATTAGATAGCAAATATATTATATAATATTAACTTGACTAATAAAATATGAAATATTAAGATTATTATAACAAAATACCTTTTATATTAAATATTTTTTTAATTAATAATTTCAGCAAATTATTTTATTTACAAACTGTAACAAAAATTACAATTAATTTACTAATTGTAGCTATATTACCAATCAATTAATTGAGATCAAATAATTGCAATTAATTGCTCTTATAATCAATTATTCAGTAGCTCTATCTAATAGTAATACAAAAACCTTATACTCAAACTTTAGCCCAAATATAAGCTTATACTTGAACTTTATAAATATGCTTTTTCTTATTGGTCTCTAAGTGTATTTTTTAAATGAGCTCAAATTTTGGTACAAATATAAGCTTATACTGGGTTGCAAATATATTTTTTTTTATAGTTTTTAAACACATATAGTTGGTTAAAAGTCTAGCTTATAGAAATAAATTTAGAAAGGTTTTCTATCTTTTTAATAAAATCAAATAGTATAACTAATACTAAAAATTGGCTGATACTAAAATTTGAATTTATTTTTATATTGAGTATTGCTAATTTGCCTTTAGTTATATAACTACCTATTATACTATCTTAAAAACTAGATTAAATAACTATATTTGATGCAATAATTGGTGATTCGCTAGTCACTTGGTGCATGATCATAGTAAAATATGATACAGATCACTATGTAAATTATATTGTATATACTCTAAATATAGCATTTATCCAAAAAAAACTTTTTTTTGTACTAAGTTAATTGCTTTTCAATATTAAGTAAAAATTGTAAAGCTCATTAAGTCATATTTAATAGTGATAAAATTATCAAAAACAGTCTAGTAGTTGTCAAGATATCATTAAAAAATGATTGGCTGACTATGTAAAATTTCTATATAAACAATAGTTTATATAGAATTTTACATAATTAACTAATCATTTTTTAGTAATATCTCAACAACTACTAAACCTTTTTTGATAATCTTACCACTGTTAGATATATCTTAATAAGCTTTACAATTTTTACTTAATACAAAAAAGTGAATAACTTAGTACAAAAAAGTTTTTCTTGGGTGAACACCACATTCAGAGTATATATGATTTATATAGTGATCTGTATTATATTATACTATGATCATACACTAGATAACTGACAAATTATCAATTAAGTAAAAATATTTAGCACTATAAAAAATCTTATTCTAGTTTATCTTTAACCCTAACTCTAAACTTTAATTCTTTTTACTAATTTTAAATTTAAAATTAAAATAAAAATTAATAGTAAATAATAGGTGGTTAAAATTTATAATTTTAACCAGATGTTAAAATTAGTCTTATTCTTTTATATTAAAGGTTAAAAATTTTTTGATATTTTTTTTTAGAGTTAGGTTAGGGTTTAGGATTAGAATTGATAATTAAGAAGTGTGTATAGATTTTGATAAGGGTTATATTTTTAAATTAAAATCTTGAATTTTAGCATTAACTATAATATCAAATAATTCAATAGCTAATCTGAAATAAAACTTTCAAGTTTTACTTAGCAGTGTTTATAAAGATTAACTAGCAGATTCATGTATTAGTAATAATAATAAAAATTTAATTATATATTAAAATGATAATAAATATAGCAGATTAAAATAAAATCAGATTAAAATGAAATGTGAGATAGTGTAAAATAGACAAGCTATCGAAAAATACAAATTTTTGAGAAGTATTTTTTTAGCATTTTTTTAGGTTTAGAATTAGGGTTTAGAAGCAGGTTTTATAATAAACAAGTATAAGTAGGTTTTAGGAGATCAAATAGAAACCCTTCATTTTATTTTAATTTAATTTTATTATGATCTGTGACAATAAAAACTTAGTTATATATTAAAATAATAATAAAATTTAGTAAGGGATATAACAAAAATCAGATAATTTTTTAAGAGGAGAGAATAAAAAAAGTTAAAATTATATAGAAAAACCTGATTTTTTATATTAAGAGAAGAGAAAAAGTTGTAAGCTTCTGATAAAAGTAATCAGAAGATAAATAATACTATTCTAATATATTTGTAAATAAATAATCAATATATTATAAATATATATACTTGCTTTCATTTATACTTCAATAAATTCAATTTGCTTTAAATCTGCATTTAAATAAATTAATTAATTAATGATTCTTCAGTGAACTAAAGAATTATCATAGTATAACGCAATGCAGTTCTATATGTAAATCATATAGATAAAAATATGGAGATTTTTTAAAGAAATATAGTATTTGTCTAAAGAAAACTTTTTTTCTTACTAAGTAAATTGCTTTTGGGCTTCTAATAAAAGTTGTAAAGCTTATCAAAACACATCTAATAGTAACAAAAACATTAAAATTGGCTTGGTGGTTCTTGAGAAATCTTAAAAAAAAAACATTTCATCTATATATAAAATTTCTTTAAAGAAAATTAATTTTTTTAAAAAAGATTTTATATAGTTAGTAAAATGTTTTTTAAAGATTTCTCAAGAACCACCAAGCCAATTTTAATATTCTTACTATTATTAGATACATCTTGATGAGCTCTTCAACTTTTGTTAGAAGTCTAAAGGTGATTTATTTAGTAAGAAAAAAAGTTTTTCTTGTGCAAACGCCACATTTTCATCTTAAAAAATTTACATATAGAACCACATTGCATTATACTAAGATAATTCTTCAGTTCACTAGAGAATCATCAATTAATTTTAAATAAAAAATAATTTAGTATATCTCTTTATAATGATCAAAACAACTTTAAGATATACTATAAAAAATAAAGACCTTTAAGGGTAGGTATTTGTTTACATGTTTTTTTTATACAATATACAAATAAATATGCATGTACAACCAAATATACAATTATAATTGGTTAATTTTGCAAATCATTAAATTTTGATTGGTTTATTTTCATGCTATACGCAAACAAATGGTAAACAAATACCTACCCTTAACCTTGGTATTGTTTTATAAATTTATTGTAAAGAGCCAATGTGAGGTTCCAGTATAAAATTAATTAGTATTTTATAATCGCTAATCATTGTGAACTTAAATACTATGTGATTTCATGTAGAACCAACCTAGGTTCTTCATATGTTTATTATTTGCAAATACGTTTTTAATTGAACTAATATTTTTTTTTTAGCTTTCTGATGCTCACGAATATACAGATAGGTATCTTGAGGATAAATATAACGCATTACAAGCCTTATTTGAAAATCTAATAAATGTGGTCAATCATAATAATATTCTTGAAGTTTGGAAAGTTTCTATATTTAATCAATATACTCATAGTTATCCCCATTATATCATTCTTTTAAATAATAATACACACCTTTGTACCTGCCTTTATATTATCTCTAATAGTTTTTATTGCAGACATTTTTTTAGTGTTTTTAAGATGTCTCGCAATACAAAGTTTAATGTTAAACTCATATCTAGACGTTGGTATACTGATCTTATGCAAGCATCAAACTATACTATAATTGAAAGCACAGATTCTACGGAATTCAATACAAATGAAGAGATGAACCAATTGATTTCTATTCATGATCCTGATATATATCGAGCTAGCGTTCATATTAGCATTATACAAAAACAAGAATATGTTTATGGTTTCAGCGTGGCTAAAAGCAGGCTAAAATTTGTTCTTGAAAATGGATTAGTAGATGAATTTGTAGGATTGGTAGAAGAATTTATTAAAGATCATACTGGTATTGATATTAATAAACAGATGACAATTGATGTTATTCGGATTAAAAATCCAAAGAAATTGAAGCATAAAGGATATCCAAAAATAGCAAAATCCGTACAAAGTGTTCAAGATTTAAATACAAGATCTTTAAATGAAAGACAGAATTCAAATACAAAATGAGACTTAAGTTCAAGGCAAGATAAATCGAAAAGAATAGATAAAACAGATATTGAATATAAAGATTCTGAAGAAATTCAAGAAAACAAATTAATGAAACAAATGGCGAAAACTCTATACCAAGAACAGAGACTCGTTACTGTAGTAATTTTGTTATAGAACTAGATATTATGCCTCAATATGTAAATTTTCTAAAGATCATTTTAGGTAAAATAATTGTATAAAATTTAGTATGTGTTGAAAGATTTTTACTTGGCTTGAGTTTAAAAAACTGACTCATTAAAAATTGCTATATAATCTTAATGCATTTCAAGTATAAGTCAGGTAATATCATTATAAATACAGATATAATTTCATACTATCCTTATCACTATAGCGAATTACAAAATTTTTTGTATATGATAATCTTTTTATTTTGATTGCCTGAATGGTCATCACTTATAAATAAGAAAATTAAAGTTCCTGTACTGTACGTACATACATATGTACGTACTTTGAATATATCAAATCCTAAAATATATAAAAATTAGCTCATACGATAAACTATGTGAAAATGTATATTTATATAAGGAAATCTGAGTTAAGTTATTGGATTAGTGATTTTTTGATTCTATATTGCAACTAAGCTAGCTATATAGTCTAATAATAGTTTGTATTAGTCATGTGAAATCGAAACTTGGGTAAACATATCTGATTCTTACTACTGAAATGCACTTCTTATTTCTATTAATACAAATATTCTGTAATTACTCTCTTCATATCGGCCGATTTGTTTTGACCCAAAATCAGCTAATCATGATCGAGGATTATCAAAAAATTTTCCACGAAAATTTATTGCAAAGTGAATTTTCACAAAAATGGTCTTTTTAACTAGCCTTGCATTTCTAATTAAGTATATAGAAATTTACAAAATTCATGTA